AGAAACCAATTTGAAATGATTCGAGCTTTGTGACATGGTGCATTATCCTGCTGGAATATTCACTAGAAGCTGGGTATGCTGTGGTTATGAAGTGATGGACATGGTCAGCAACAATATTCAGGTAGGCTGTGGCATTTAAACAATGCTCAGTTGGTACTAAATGACCCAAAGCATGCCAAGAAGATATCTCTACCCCACCAGCACCAGCCTGAATTGTTGATACAAGGCAGGATGAATCAATGCTATGATGGTATTTTTTGCCAAATTCTGACCACCTGAATGGTGCAGCAGAAATCGAGACTCATCTGACCAGGCAATGTTTTCCATTGTTCCATTGATCAGTTTTGGTGAGTCTGTGCCCACTGTAGCCTCAGCTTCCTGTTCTTAGCTAACAGGAGTGGCACCTGGTGTGGTCTTCTGCTGCTGTAGCCCATCTGCTTCACGTTTCGTCATGTTGTGCATTCAGAGATGCTCTTCTGCATGCCTTGGTTGTAACAAGTGGTTGAGTTACTGTTGCCTTTCTATCAGCTTGAACCAGTCTGGCCATTCTTCTCTGCTCTCTGCCATCAAGAAGGTATTTTCACCCAGAGAACTGTCACTCAGTGGATGTTTTTTTTGGCCCATTCTCTGTAAACACTAGAGATGGCTGCGCGAAAATACCAGATGATCAGCAGTTTCTGAAAGACTCATACCAGCCCATCTGGCACCGATAACCATGCCACCTTCAAAGGCACTTAAATCACCTTTCTTCCCCATTCTGGTGTTTGATGTGAACATAGAATTGAAGCTCCTGACCTGTATCCTGTATCTGCATGATTTTCTACACTGTGCCGCTGACATATGATTAGCTGCTTAGATATTTGCTTCAATTAGCAGTTGAACGGGTGTACCTAATAAAGTGGCCAATGAGTGTATAGTTTAAGTTCTGTTTGAGAATGGGGCTTATGGTATTCATATCACCATGTAATAATTCCATATAAATATGATCACTAGTGCGATGGAGCACAGGCAGGTCAACGTCAGAGCATGTTACACAGGGACTACTCCAAACCAAAGTACTTTTTGAATGGCAGGAGTCTCTACTCTGCATTCATCAAAAGAAAAAGACAAGCTGTCGAATGTCTTTATGCATGTAGCTGATACACTGCTTACTGGCATTACAGCAAATAAATAAAAATAATAAATGCAAAAAGCATATTGGATTCTGAAAATTAAAACTATTTGTGACTTCTCTCATTTCTTTGTCCCTTTGTGTTTTTTCTACAGAGAAAGTACATTGAAATTTTAGGGTGCATTAAGAGGCAATAAGAGGAAGCCAATTAAACTAAGTGCAATGTGTGTGTGATGCATACAACATAGGCATATAAAGTCTTACAAAAAAACAACAGAATAAAACATTTGATTTAGCCAATTTTCTTGATATAGTCCAAAACCAGTGCTCACTGCTTCTAGAAAACATGCATGAGAATAATTTAGACATTATCTCTTTGGAAATTTTGACACAGGACGTCCCCTTAATAATCAGGAAGTTTTCCTCATGGTCAGGAAGTCAATATCTATGACTAATCATTTCAGTGTATGTTCAGATAGACTTCTCTTTCATATTGTACCAAGACGGGAGGCTTGGCAAACACCGGTAACTTTACTCTCCATAACCAGCTGCAGTGACCTGAGAACACCCCCCTGCATTTTCCGCTCAGACAGACCTGTGAGACATTGGCCGTTTCTTGTATTAAACATTAAACTATACTGGTAACAGGATACTTCCATCCAAAGTGATTATCTACTCAGGTTACACCGGCCCCTTTTCCCAGAAGAAAAAACGTGAGAGAATTAAACTAAATGGGTCAGACGTGCTGTGCAAAGGAATCTGGATGCTGTCTGCTTGACATCAGTGTCTGTAAAGCCGGCTACTCTGCATGACAGTTTCATTATCTGCCTGACCACCAGTGCTCCATATTGAACAGGACAAGACAGGACTTTATTGATCCCACACTTGGGGATCTTGCTTGTTACAACTAGGGCTGCAAAATTCTAGGATTTTTCACATTAATCCCCATATATTCCCATTAATTCCTATGGAAAGTTTCAAACTTCCCCCATCTTAACTTCCCATAACATGGAAAAAGTTTCTGGTTGGAAATATCAATTTAGAGAACATTGTGCAATTACCAACAGAACAGGGTTCACTACCAAGACAGGCCTGGCAAACCGATTTAAATATGGATCACTGTAGAGAGAGGAGAATGCAAACCACAAAATTATGATTTACCTAGTGACAGGAGAAAGAATTGTTGGAAACTAACACTAATTGGAGTTACTGCATGTTGTCCGTCACTGCCTGGGGTAAGCCAATCGGGTCTAATGAAACAACAGGAAATTGATTAAAACGTCTCCGATTGACAGCAGCCTGAGATCCCAGCCACAGTGGGTATACAATGCTCATTGATGCTTTCAGTACATCATTTTAGCGGAGTTACAAGTACAAGTTGCGTTTTAAATAATCTGAAAACTGAACGTTAAGATATGGGGGTGGGGGGGTGGACTGAGGTTTCGCTGAAATCAGGGGTTAAGGCAGTGCAAGGCCGCCTCCCCCGCCAGCTTATCTTTGCCACTTGTTTTAAATGTTTAATAGCTGCCCTACATTTTTCCTTTTAAAAGCCACGCAGCAGTTTTATTCACATTTTCAGAGCCCAGTTCACAGAAATGCATGATAGCTAAAACAGACTAATTATAACTTCAGTCATCCGTGATCCAGTTTCGCAACGAAAAGAAGGTAGCCTAGCATTAAGTTTCTGAACATAAGCCAGTTAGCTTTGTACACTTTCCAAACGGCTAACGTCATGTGCGGTACATAGACAAAACCCAATTTCCGAATAAATACCCGCGATTAAGCCCCTACAGAAATCGGCGATCACTGTCACAAGTGCTATATACGGCGATTTCACGCTATACTGGCACTCCCGACCGAAGCCCATCTCATCCAAAAATAAATAAAATCCATCATGCTGTCATTTTGTGTGACCACCGTAACGTCGCCGGACTGCAATCAAGCCGTGTTGTCATTTCTCTCCTTCCTTAGCAACGTAACATTTCATAAAACTTATTGCATGTATACAATCATTTTCCTGACATCACCTTATACCTACTTGAGGTACGAATCTTACTCCACATTTGCCTGCAGATCTCTACAAGGCCGAAGATGGCAATCCTTCATTTACAATAAAAGTTATTAACGAGAAGTGTTTTCAGACCATTTCACCAACACTTTGGGGGAGGGGGGGTTGTAACCCCCAGTAATCAAAACCAGCCAATTCAACACCCTTAAATTAGTGGACACCTCAACCATCCCAATGCTCAACCCAAAGTTATGCCCTTGCTGCAAATCAAAACACTGGCTACAAATTTTATTGCACCCCGGAGATGTACTTTTAAGCACTTTAAGGCTAAATTAGTAAGCTTATATACTGAAGTAAGCACAAAGTGAGGCAGCTATTGTCTGTATGATCTCTAACCGTCTTAAAGATCAAAGGCAGAGAAGTAGGTCACAGGTATAAAACTGTATCATGGTGCTGCCTAATATTACATTCAAATTAGTAATGACTATGAAACACTATAAAATGGTAATCGAATAAGAACGGGACAACATTTAGTCGCGTCAGTTTTGTATATTTTGGTTCTGGTGTTCGTTATTATTCTTACATATAATTCTTGTACACTTATCCCATTAAGTTCCCTCGGCAGGCCTAGAAGGAAACTTTTCTAAGTGCTGAACGTGTCGATATGGTACAACCTCGCTGGGCGACGTGAAGCAACATCGGCTTTTTCCGTGAAGTTGCAGGACTATAGGCAACAAGCACGAACGCAAACGATCAGTGTCAGGACTGTCAACTAACTCGCTATTTCACATTATGACACCTCGCAGTTCGTAAGTTTGACACTGTCCATCATCAGCATGGGGAAGCGAGTGTGAAAATAAAAATACAGAGCTTGGTAACTATGGACAATAAAATGCAGAGTATAATCATCATATTCATTAACAACAACAACAACAATAATAATAATACCTCTTTTTAAAGTTCTATACCAATCATAACATCATCCCCTAGACTGCCAGAAGTAGCTATTTTAAGAACATTGGTTGAGTTGCGATAGATTTACCGATAAAATGACATTAACAGCAGCCTACGTCTGAACACCATATATGGAAACAATTTTATGGGGGGAAACTGTTTAAATCGATTTATAGCGGGGGGTTGCGCACATTCGCCCTGAACTTACCCACCTCTCATCGGATTCTGAATCCACGGGATCCCTCCGCTAAGGTGATATGACTGCCCAGTGCCCCAGCAAAACCCAAGAAACACCTGGAATATGCTATATATCTGGATAGTAAACGTATGTTCAAAATGGCAGTTTACAAAGCAATGCCATCTAATGTGATCGCAGCCGGTTTGTCCACATGGCGCCCGCATACACCACAGATCGCCGAAATAAGACGAGTCTGGAAGCTGAAAGCGATGCTTTAACTCAATGACAGCCTTAGAAAAATGACTCGCTGAGGTGCAGCGCAAATGTTACTGACCCCCTAAATATCACCTGTCTTAGGTCGCTACCGCATGAAAGTCGGACTGCATTTTGATGCATTTCTGATAAAATCCCAATCTGCACGGTGACCAATTTTAACAGGTGCATCCACACAACTACAATAAAAAATAAGGAAACCAAAATGACGCTCCGCGAAAACCTCCCTCGACCTGTCCGCAAGCCCTACTAACAATACCCACAGAGCCCCCTTTTCTGTCTTTCTGTCTCAGCTATCTCAAAGCAAGCCTGGATTTTTCCATACGTGACTTAATATCTGCGGTATCCAATCGCGATCTCACAACTTTCCAGGTGCCTGTAATCTGTATTCATCATGGTCGCATCTCCCAAGCACTGAACCAGCAGCAAACGCCAAAAACGTGTTGATTTCCATGAGTCACCCGGTGCAGCCTTACCTTCAACAGCCATTATGCTAGTCATCTTCTAATGCGCTCATTATTCGGGCGGCTGTGGATTCGGCGTTACATTCAAAGCTTTGTACATTATTATTTAAGCAGCATTTTCCCTTCCTGCTGCAGACCAGCGCTGACAAAATCAAGCGAGCCGCAGAAAGCCGAGTGGTTTCGCGTTCAGAGGATTGTGGGGACTGTAGTTAGAATAACCGGTTTGGGGGACTGGGAGGGTGAGCCTGCCTGAATGCTCTGCTCCAGTTCGCTCTCTGACATGTAAAAGAAATGTCCAAATTAAAGATGAAGCCTAATCGTCACAGTACTACACATCTCCAGCCAATCTGAGTGATTTGCATATATATACACTAGTCATTTTATATGCCAGTGATTTCAGTTTCCATTGTTTTTTAAGATTGGGAATTGTATTCACAAGGCATCCTTTGCTGAGTGGAAGGGATCTTCTGCTGTTTGAAAGAAAACACTGAAAATTATACACACGTCGTGTGAGTGACGGTGCAACATTTACTCACATTGGTTAATTTTCACTAGTGATTCGTGTTTAATGCCCTCTCCGCACAAAATACCAAAACCTTTGTTTACTTTAATGTGCATTTGTTTTATAGTCGTTTACATATTATGCGTTTCTCGGAATGGTTTGTCATATGTCACTTATATTTAAGTAGGCCTACTTAAAATATCTAGCATTTCATTAATTAATAAACTGTGCTACAATAATGGAAGTATCGTCAGATCGCCCTCCACAGACCTGTATAGGTACGCGGTGAATAATTAAGCGTATGTGAAGGTCTGAACGCTGTCCGGTCTGCTCGTGCGGTCTTTGCATATTTGTACCATGATGTTGAGTTTCATCGAGGTATGATTAATGCCTTAGGATACTGGCATTTGTTTGGGGGGCATAACCCCCCCGAAATAAATGTAAAATAATTAGTTGAAAAAGGGTGTTCTCATTGGTTTTCATTAAAATTAGGCCCCCCTAATAAAGGTTTAGCTCGCCTTTTCTTATATCTCCTGTGACGCTACTGACTTTGTCATGTAGGTATGAACAAACCGCAAACAGCACGTACTTCATATTTTGATGAAAAGGCTGGCAGCTGAAGGTATGCGGAAGACTGCAGTGAGTTTCACATTGCTCCGATTAATTGACGACCGTCATTACGTGACACCTAGACGTCTAATTGAAAGAGACGGTAAATATTTCTTCTCATTCAGAGGGTTGCCAGGAACTGAACAATAAATCACCACATACACACGGGTGTACCGTGTCACTTCAGAATATAAAAAAAAAATGTAAATTGATTTTTCAAACTAAATAATAAAATACTATTATACATTTGCTGGAAACACTGCATTATAATATCTCCATGATTGTGGTTTCAGTTCATTCACATTTTCTGCATGTTTCTAGATGAATTCTTCCCTCAGACCAAAGATATGCAGTTTAGATTAACTGGTGTCTATTGTGGGTCGGCATGGTGGCGCAGTGGTTGGCACTGTTGCCTCACACCCCTGAGACCAGGGTTTGTGTTTCCAGTATGGATCCATATGTGTGGGGTTTGCATGTTCTCCCTGTGGGGTTTCCTCTGGGTACTCTGGTTTCCTCCTGGTGTCCAAAAATATCCTCAAGTTAATTGGAGTGGCCAAACTGCCTATAGGGGTGAGTGTGTTACAGAATGGTGTGTGAGTGAGTCCTGAGAGTGGTTTGCGCCCCATCCTGGGTTGTTCCCTGAGAGAGGTTGCCGCCCCATCCTGGGTTGTTCCCTGAGAGGGTTTGGCGCCCCATCCTGGGTTGTTCCTTGCCTTGTTCCCTGAGAGGGGTTGGCACCCCATCCTGGGTTGTTCCCTGCCTTGTGCCCTTAGGCCCAGACTCCCACTGAATAGGATAAGTGGTTTCATAAAATGGATGGATGGATGGTGCCCATGGTGTGTGAGTGTGCCTTAGATCCTGCTGTGTGCTTCAAGCTATTTTATTACTTGAAGGTTGTTGGTTCCAGTCCCTTGAGACACTCTTCTGTCACACCCCTGAGAAAAGGTACTTAGCTTGAATTTTAGGAAAAAATCCAGCATAGTGTTTGAGAAGGGACTGAAAAAATGCAAGTGCATCATTCAAAATGTCTGCCAATGAATTAAATGCATTCACTAATGTTTCATTTAAGAAGTTCCTGTTTGTGCAGCTGAAGTCTACATTATTATTTGTTAAGATTTACTCATACAAATGACATCCAGTTTAACAATATCAAGCTAATATGTAATATACAGAAGCAGGAGGACAAGATTAAAGTCAATGTGTTTTTAGGGACCCAAAGTTTATGTGGGGGCCAAAAGTTTTTGTGAAATGATTTTTGCCTGTCTTGGGGGGTGGGAGGGAAAAATATTTAGTGTTAATGGCTATAAAGAAAAAATGGCAACACTTCACTTTACGGGGCACAAATACTTAGTAATAACTCAGTTACTACTGAAGTACAAATCATAAACAAATATAGCAGGTACTTGACAACTGCGTCACAATTCATTAATGATGAACAAACATGACGTCAGTATTTCACTTCTGTTATTCATTATGTTCATTTCGTAGTTCCTTCAGTAGTTCACAAAGGTTTACAGAATTAACAGATGCAGTAACAAATATTGTAACTAGGCACAGCAACAGTAACTGCTTGAGACAAAATATGCGGCACGATTCATTAATGATGAATTAACATGACATCAGTCTGTAACTAAGACTTAGTTTGTGGTTAATTAATACATAAGTAATAGCATAATACTATATTATTTGTGCCCCGTCAAGTAAAGTGTTAACGAAAATATGATACTGGCAAAATGAGAATTGTGTGTCTGTTAGGAGTGATCTCTTAAATAATTTGGTGATGTGCACATCTAAATGGGCGAAACGTGTGATGATATGTAGAGAATGCACGCCTATTGTTTTACTGTGGAATGTGAAACGCTTCTTTATAATTCCTCCCAGTCCGTTCAACGGGTTACAGATACCTTTTCATTCTCGGGAAGGGATTGCCTTTTGGGATTATTATGTGTAATTTCCCAAACGCGTCAGGCACAGGGTAGAGGGGTTTTCCAAAAATAACACAAAGTATACCCGTGTGTGCGTCATTGAAGAATATGAAGCTGAAAACGGGAAGTGAATTTAAAGTTCTCCCCAGCATCACCGTCGCTTAATCGATTACTAGTAGGTGCAGATGGCTTTTAACGCTGGAGCTGAGAATGACGTCGAAGAACGGCAACAGCAAAGTTATTACAGTCATGTGTCCATGCAACCATTTCACAAGACCACGTATCCTATACAGGGTCAAAGCGAGCCTGATGTTTGTCCCAGAAAGACCAGAAAGCACTGAGCTGGTTTCCATCCTCATACCCACGGCTCATCACATACTATGGACAATCGGTTCCTTTTCTTAACTGGATAACACATATGGAATGGAAAATAGCAACATCCACGCCTTACAACCTCACTGAGGATGCATTCCTGTAAACTTTTAAAATGGTCAATTTCTATATCCTCCTGAGACCCAAGGAAAAAAATGTCCTTCAATTGTAGGTTATTTGTCTTTGGAGGAAATAAGACATCTTACAATTTAGATTTTTTTCAAATTTATTCTTATTTTAATTCCACAGCATGTCCTCTTTAGTGCACAACAAGAATAAATACGTTTCCCAACATCAGTGAAAAAATAAATGCAAAAATACAATGTCCACTACAATGGACATAAATGAATAGGTCGGGTCTCAGGAGGATATTTCAGTGGATTTTATTAAAAGAGACTCTGTCGCACTGGATATGTTATGGAGCTTAAAGGAAGGCCAGCCAGCCACAAAGGACAGTCTGTACACCGTCTCCCAGACTACCCACTAGCGGAGATGGCAGACTACCCACTAGCGGAGATGGCAGCTTTGCTGGGGTGTCCGAGGTGTCTATTTACAAGGTTCAGCTTGCGTAGAATTGGCTGATGGTAATAGAGCGCCATCTGCTGGGAGAATGTTAAAAAGTAGAAATTGAGCTACGTACGTTCTTTTCAGAAGTACTAATTCCAGTCTCCAGTGATTAACGGTAATGGTAACATAATTTAATGATAAAATCAAAAGACCTATATCGCAAACCAAATCTTATAATTATGCTTATAATATGCTATTGTAAATTGTAATTTTAAATTCTTGTTTACTCTTTTTTGCACAGTCTGGATCGGTCAGGGTTCATTTCACTACATGTTGTACTCGTTATAACTTTTCTTTAACAGATTTTCACATTTTTTACAGCTAATTCCCGGAAGTGAAAATGCAATGTGCGATTAATTTCTTTTGCACGTGGTTTATGTGACAAGCCTGACAGATTTTTTTAAAAAAAACTGGATTCAAATGACAGCAGCCCTAGGTTCAGATCAAACAGCAGAGCTGTAAGTATTTCAATCTGTCATTTTCCCTATGACTAAGATCTTGCCTGCCAGCTACATTGCCAATTCACACCATCACCCGTCTCAGTACCTAATGTTTTATTATACCAAAACAATATGCTTTACAAACTCCAGTGTCCCATTTTTCACTATGAAAAGTTTATGATGTTATAAAACCAAGAATATAAATTCAAAACATAATGAGAAAAAAAGCAACTTTAAACACAACTTTGAACTGTTTGTTTCCCAAAACGCTGAGATAAAAGGTATAACTATTTATTGAGCCTCGCTAGTGCATCCTTTATCCAGAGTAACTACATCTGACGTTTCTACCTGTCTATGTAGTTTAACTTTAAATCTGGAAAAAATACAGTCATATTTATCGCACAGAAGTTTCTTAGGTGTGTTCTGTTAGCTCTATGTCACCTGCCGTAACATCAGTCTTAATGAAATATGTGCTGCATGAAGAGACAGCTGCTTTCTTGCTTCGTACAGCTGTTTTGGTCGCAGTTTTTGCCGTCAAACAAGGAGTGTGATAACGACGTGGTCGTCCTGGCCTTGCCACAGCATCTCGCCCTCGAAGGCCACCTTGCTGTGCTTCCTGGCTCTCATCAGGATGCCCACCACCTTGTCTGAGATGCGTACGTATCTGTCAAACAGCTCGCCGAACGTGACTCGTATCCGGCCGTCGGCACCCGGCTCGGTCATGGTGCGGATGATGAAGCACATGTCGTCGATCTCGCGGTGGATGTGGGCCTCGGCTCGCTTGGCCCTCTCCGCCGTCATGCTGCCTTCCTTGGGCCTCCCGTAGCCCTCCTGGCCCTTGTGGAGGCGCGTGGACATAGACAGCTGGTAGTCAAACTCGTCGCTGAACGGGTTCAGCTTTTGGTTGATCTCGTGCTGTGAGGCCCAGTTCTGCCACTTGTTCGCCAGGTTCCCGACGGGACTGTACTTCTTTGACACCGAACTCAGCCTTTTAGTCTCGTCCACGTCCCTGTTTACCCTAGAAAAGTGGCATCCAGACACAGGCATAAAGAGACAAATATAGAGAAAAAGAGATGAATATAGAGTAGCATTTGAATTTTAGTATGCATGAGCATCTTTGTACAATCAAACTATAGGGAAACTGTTAGACTTACACTGTGGAGGAAGGTCTTTTTATCCTAACCCACGATTCAGGCGTGTCTATTGCATCCCTTTTGTCTTTGCTTATTGAGTAGTCTTGGGTGTTGCCTGTCTGTATGGGTTTGCCAGGCGTGATGTCACTCTCCAGACTCCTCTTGTCCACCTCTGAGAAGCTACTGTCCTTCGTGTCCATGTTGCAGGCCCAGTCACCCTCTAGGCTGTCGGCCTCCTTCTGCCGTCGCCCCTTCTCCACCTGCTTCCATCCTTTGGTGAGCTCCGACACCACGTTAGCACATTTGCGTCGGCGCGTCGGCGAGCCCCTGGCCTTTAACATCCTGTCGACGTCCTCCGTGGCCTCTTTGCCGTAGCGCTCGGTGAGCAACCCGATTCCCACGCCTTTCTCCTGCACGCTACTCATCACCGACTTTGCCACCTGCTTGGTCTTGATCTTGGAGGCTCCTGGGATGTTGCTGTTGACCTCCTCCAGGGGCTGTAGGGACACCAAGGTATACTCTGCTGCACTGGGGGGAGCCGAGGTTGGACGGGTCTGCTTTTTGGAGAGGACTCTCTTCGAGTTCGGCTTCTCCTCATCCTGCTTGCCTGAGGAGGGACTCCAGCCCGAAGGCTCGTTGGCTTGCTTCTGCTCATTGTCCGTCACCCACTGCTGCCAGCTTTTTGCCAGGCTGCATACTGTGCTCAGCACCCGCAGTTTCTTGATGTTCTTCTTGGCTGAAGGCTTCTGATTGGTCACTTCCGGACTGAGGACCTTCTCTGACATTTCTGCACATGTATATGTACGTCTTGCTATTTGCTGTGGTCCTCCACCCTGCAGCTGCGTTTTGCTGTACTCTTACAGGCCGTTCTCTCTTCCGCAGCCTATCCCGCCATTGCCTGGCCACCGTGTGCCGCAAGTCTTCGCAAGTGAATGTATTCTGACGGTGGAAAGTATTCGGATCACGTTCACCTCTCCGTCGATCGCCTTTCTCTGACACTTAGACCCATCCCCTAAGGCTCGAATTTCATCACAGACTATGCTTCTCAAAAATGGTAAACAGGACTACTCTTTAAAGGCTTCTTAAATCTCTCAGAGGCCATAAACATTTGAATCAACTGTCCGGATTAATTAAAGAAGCGGATGGCTGCGATTCACGGGTATCGTCCCAGATCTTGGCTTGACAGTCCCAGTCCGCATGCATCACGGCAATATTTATTCAGAAGTGTAATATGACACCCTGTAACACATGACTCTACACTGTGGTTAAAAAAAACATATATAACTGTAATAACGTTTAGGCAGTACATTCAGTTTGTTAAGCTCATAGCTGTTTTGATCCTCATACTGAACACATTCAGTGTGGTCCATCTTATACTGCACTGGTGAACCTACATGACCACACTGGCATGGACGGTTTGCAGTGTGTTCTCTGAGCTGGGCTCCTCTGTGCATCTGCAGCTAAAGTTGGGGTTACGACTCCGTGAGCAGTGATCCGTCTCTGGCTTCCAAACCCATATCGCCCTCGTCACGCTATTTTAGGATTTAGCATAGTGCACATAGCATTCTTATAATATGTTCCCCTGCACGTTGTTGGTTCATAAAACTGTAAGAATATTACTTAATTAATATTATAAATTTGGAATCGGTAGTATATATATATATGTCAGATACCTCTGTTTAGTTACTTTTGTATGTGGTATTTCCATGCATATAAAATATTCAGGCATAGTGTGTGATGCGGTACAGCAGTGTGTGCATATGTGTGCATGCACTGAATATAATATCTTATATACAGTTTTTGTCGATAGGTTGAATAGATAGGGTATATTCCGAAGAAAGGGTTGTGGTGTCTGGTTTGAAGTTGAGGGCAGCTTTACAGAAACCACAGGTCCCACTGACTTGTTTCGGAGAAAGGAGTCACATGACCCAGAGAAGAATGTTACACTCTGCAGCTCAGTAAAAATTTGACACCTGGAAAGGTTGCCTTGCCCTCACCTCCAAAAGTCAGCTGTAGGATTCCTGCATAAAGCAGTTTACTGACACTTTATTTTTGCAGTGACAGTTTTACAGTTACATGTTTAAGAGCTTTTAAATTGTCATTCAATTCTTTTTTTTTTTTTTTTTAATTTTACGCAGCAGCACATATTCTTCTGGGGAGTGACTGTGCGTATATTGGAAGCAGGGATTTCTTTATTTTTAGCGTCTGGAGGGTGCAGAAACAGATGGGAAAGAGACAGCTGTTGGTGGTCAGTCATGCATAATGGAAGGTGGGCACTGAGCATGCTCAGAGATTCAGCTCTCAGGGGTCCTAGTCTGACTCGACGGTGCGTGATCACAGTGGCTGGCAGGCTCCCGCTGGTCTAGTCTCTGATCGATGTGTCTGGGATTTAAAGGCTCACCACATTACATGACAATGAACAAATAAATGCTGACAAAACAAGATCAGACAGGACCAATGCATGACTTTATACACAGCTTTAACATAAACATATGCCATAAATGCAAAGACTCTACCCCACTGATAAATAACATCCATCCATCCATTCATCCATCCATTCATCCATCCCTGCTAATCCAGTAGGCCTACAGTGTTGCAGGTGATAACGCTTTTTTTTTTATTATTTTTTTTACTTATGAAAAGCTCCAAATCATGCATTTCAGGCATAGACCGCAGTTAATAGTGCAAGTGCGGGGAAAAAAAAACACTTTATACAAGACACAATTCAAATTTTCCTGGCTAGAAGGGAATGGCAGTTAATCAATGGACACATGCTGTCTTTCCCAGTCATACAGTATGTTTAATAGTAGCCTGAAATAAGGGCTGAGTGCTTCCTCTGGCGAATGACAGAAAGCAGGCAGGGAGGATGAACAATTCTGCATGGTCTGTTTGGTTTTATAGTAACAACAGACACAACAGAATGATGTGTCACTTTCTTGACGATACGTTGTAGTAGTAGACTCAGGTCCCGTTGATCGGCGTTGCTTCTGTCCAGCAGAGGGAGCCATTTCCTAGGTACAGACAAGCCTGTAGCCCAAAAGCATTGCCCGGGTGCCGTTCCCATTCTGAGGATGGCTGTAATCATTCCTACTGAGTAGAGGTCCTTAGAAGGACAGACCTGCGGGATATAGAGCAGAGCAAGCTGGGAAAAAAGAAGAAAAAAAAACATCATTTGATATTAATTAACATTTGCATTTTCTGTGCCCAAAACCAGGTGCATTGATAAAAGAAACTGGCTACTGTTAGATATTAAACATTCACAAGTAGCATGATACTATAGTCCATATTTTAAAATTTAAAATTTTGTATTTTGTCATTTATTGACTATTTAAGTCTTTAAAGTAACCCAGCTATTTATCGTTTAGCCTACAAAAGAAGAACTCGAGACGGAGGAGCATTTTAGCTCATTTGGCTCTTGTTTCTGGCTTTTTAATTTCTTGCAGTGCCTGATTTATTTTCCCTGGCCATTGTCTTTTTGCCTCCTGGCCTTATTGTAGCAAATGCATGACATTTTTGTTTGTACTGTGATGCTGTTCTTCATCAATGAATATAGAGAAAGAGAAGTTCAATCCCAAAATGAGTTTCATGTTTTATACGCAAAGTTTGTAAATAAAATAAAAAATTTTTACAACTGGTTTCCATGTATTTTTGTTGTTATTCATTGCACCAAAACTGCATTGCTACTTCGTTCTAGACTGGAGAGTCGCACCATAGTGGCGGGATGCAGTGACAGAGTGAGATGGAGGATTCCAGACCTCCAGAACCTTGAGATACACCCAGAAAAAAGAGGACAGAAACTGCAATGGGAGATGGATGATGTCCGGCCCTGGGGTCACACACAAATTCTGGAAGGGGGCGAACTCATGGTTTAATCTTTTATCTCCCAGAAATAAATCTGTAGCTTTCACTTAGCACATATCTATACAGTCAGCACAAGAAATGATGTGCATATTCCAGGATGTGGAGAAAAAACACAGTGAATGACCCTAAAACAGCTACTTTTGATGTGTTGTGCAAATTATAACTCCTGTGAGTAAGACCGACCAGAAGCCATGCAAGAAATCACCAGCAAAGGGGCGGAAATGGATGTACAGTATCAGTGAGCATGACAACGGCCTACCCAACAGGCTTCAGGGACTGCGGAGAATTCCTGTACTGTTTACAGAGAAAGTGATAAATGTCATCTCCAGGTCCTCATCTGGTCGAAACCACAAAAGCATTGCTGTACAGTGCATGTGGCTCCGTCATCTGTTTCATCATCTGCTTCAGATATTCACAAAAAATCTAATATTAGATATGGGTCCTGAGTGAACATTTATTTATTTATTTATTTTTCTCATCTTTGGCTTTTCCCAGCTTTGCGTACGCGGCTTCCAGGATAGACTCCGGACTCCCTTGACCCTACAAAGGACAAGCGGGTACAAAAGATGGATGGACTTTTTTCCATTTCGTAAATAAATGAAGTTACACAACACCCACTGCCAGTTACCCAGCACTCATTGCCAGTTACCCAACATTCATTGCCAGTTACCCAACACCCACTGCCAGTTACCCAACAGTCATTGCCAGTTACCCAACACCCACTTCCAGTTACCCAGCACTTATTGCCAGTTACTCAACACCCACTGCCAGTTACCCAACACTCATTGCCAGTTACCCAAGACCCACTGTCAGTTACCCAACATCCATTGCCAGTTACCCAACACCCACTGCCAGTTACACAACACCACTGCCAGTTGTGGCCTAATTTTAGCAGCACTGTAGCATGCTAGACCGCTGTAATGCAATCACTCACACTCTCATCACTAGGGGCAACTCAGAGTCATTAACTGACCTGGGGTGAGTTTATCAAAGCCTTCTTACGTTGTTAGTAAGTTCTATCTTTTAACATAGAATTTATGGACGATGTAGCATTAAGAAGGTTTTGAGAAACAGGGTCCTGAACATTAGTCTTTGGAGGTTGGAAGGGTAGCGAGGTGGTTTGCATGGCTTGTGGGAATTTTACTCATGTGAGTGTGAATGATGTGTGTGCCCTGTGATGGCTTGGCACCCCATCCTGGGCTGTTCACTGCCTAGAGTCCAGACCTTGCAACTCTGCATAGGACAATCAGGTATAAAAAATGGATAGATGGATGAATGCATGGACAGATGGGTTAGTCTTTGGATTAATGGAATTAAACTGTAGTACCCAGAGGGAACCAGCAGGGGGATACTTTATATTCCAACTCCCAGTTCTGTCATGTTCATTGGTAAAAATAAAGTAGTTTTCCATACGATTTCTTTACTATGGCTGTCGATTGAGATCAGTGTAAACAATACAGCTTGTTGCACACAATCCAAAGCCTCTTTTATGAATATATGTACCAAACACAGCTTAAAGAGTCTTGTCACCTGTGGTTCAGTAGAATTCCCAGACAGTCTGTTATGATCCAACCGAGGGGGGTACTGGTGGGGGGTTTCATTAGACGAAAAAGGATTGCGAGATTAGAATCATTTGGAGATGGAGCTGCTTTGTCGTTTCAGCTCCAGCTGAGATCTTGATGAGTGATACCTTTTTGAACCCTTCATTGAATTTTGATTCTCAGCTGGGCACCTTCTTAAGTTTTTAATCTTTTCATGTATGTCTGTGGAATATACTTCTTTCACAATAACAATATGTGCATATTTTCTTATTAATTCTGTAATATTTATAAAAATATACATATTTCATATTTACTTATATAAATTATGTTCCTAGTTAAATAGCTGTATTATTGAATCATCTTAAATGATACTATTTGTAAGGTTTTTGCTAAAACAAATCAAACGATTCAAAGGATTAAGGTCAAAAACTATTAACTTACCCTTGTTCAGAGATGAATGTCTTGAGCAAATCTCAAAGGAAATTGAACTTAAATCGGGTTTAATTGGCCTGGCTTTGTGCTTAATTCTGCCTCATTCCCCCGAACAAAACAGCTGTTGTTGTTTTGTTTGGACAAAGACACGTGATGTAATGGTGGCCCTACCCTAAAAGCTATTGCAGTTTAAAGATCCATATTTCTATATTCCTATTCTTTTCTGTAACTGTGAGCTGGGTTTTTAATACGTACATCATTTGTATTTACATTAATATTATATCTGAGTCTTTGATCTCTTCTTTGAGAAACTATATTCTTCTGAAGTGCCTTGCAATCACACTTATACTGGAACTGACCGGCACGGCACAGCTCTTGTGTTGTTCCTCCCGGATAAGAAAAACACAGGGTAAAAGAAGCATTTAATCACCTTGTGAGTTATTATACAGTTATAAATGAATGATCAACATCGTCTCAGCGTTAACCTCGCGGAGGGATAACCTGATCCCCACCCCCAAGCCGGGTGAACTGCAGACGGCCTCTTTCCTCCTTTCAATCACACAGATAAACGTAGATAAAGAACAGATAAACCTAGA